CACTTACGAACGTTCCAAACATTTCCATAAACTTCTTTGATATTGTTTATGGATACAAACAGCATTACATGCCAAATGTGTGTCTCGTCGTGTGCCATCACTATAAGGGATTAGAGTATACTAAACTTTACACATTACATAGGTTACACTTACCCTAAAGTGACGTTTAGGCGGTTCGTTTTATTATTATACGTGATGTAGGTTTTTTTTTGGGGTGGTCAATGAAAGTGTTCCAAAACACGACATTAATTTCTTGACGACCTTCGAAAAATACTTATTCCCATGCAAGTAACATAAAAAAATCACATATATATAGATATCTACTACTACCCACTTAAATGTCAACAAATTCAAAAAAATTAAAATTTTAAAAACACCATAAAATAGCAAAAAGTATCACAAAATAACGAAACAAAACTTCGAAAAATGCAAATATTTAAACACATCAAAAAAATTTTAAAAACCACCAAATCCAAAGATAATGACCCTTATTATTTCCACAGTCTTTTATTCCTTTATAAACAAGGAAAATATTTTATATATTGTCTTAATATCATTCTTAGTTAACTTTTTATTAAATCGATCAGGTAAAGATATTTGGAATTCGCCACAGTTGTCATTCATTAATGCAGCTACAATTTTTTTTACCAAACTGGGTTTTAATTATTTTTAATTCAGAGATAGAGTATTTAGCACCATATTCTAGCTCACGTAGCTTACGAGTTTCAATATTTTGTTGAATAGTATTAAATTTTTCTACTGTTTCCATTTTTATATTGGAAAAATCATCCTATATTTGATCATTCGATAATTTATCTTTTTCATTTTTAATAACTCATCCATTGATTCACGTTCACTTATATAATCTATACATTTTTGCATTTCTAAAAATACGAGAGATGACTTGAATAGAATAAAAGTATCGGAAATTATCTCAATCTTTTTGTTTTTATAAGCTTTAATAATAATAATTTTTGATAAATGAGTATTTTCTTGAATTTGAAATGTTCCTATTTCTCTATTATAGTTTTAAATTTAAAAGAAAATTATATCACTCGTTCTGCAAGTCCTACAATAACTTTTAAATATGCGTATTCTTTAAGTACTATATTCGTATCAATAAAATAAGAATCAATTGTTTTCATAAAAGAAATATTATTATTGTATAACATCCCAATAGCAGAGAATGTCCTAGATATATTATCCACGTAAGATTTTATTGCAGCATTGTTTTCTGCAGAAGGATCACCGAAATTTATAATTCTATTACTTTCGCATTATTTTCTATTGATAAATTATGTTCTGAATATTGTATTTTTTCCGTATTAACGTCACGAGTATCTATTAGTTTGTTTTCTAATTCACTTGTGTAATTATCAATTCTCTTATATCATTTTCCAATATTTTATGTACATACTTTTTGTTGACTGCTTCAGTTTAATTTATCAGTGCTATTAACTTTTCTATAGTATTTTTATTTGCATCAAATATTTTATCCTTATTCAGTATTAATATATTATTTTCCAAATATTGTAATCTACTCGCAGTTTCTGTATTAAAAGCATTAATTCTTAAATCAACAGTATCAATTGACTATTTCGATTTTTTTCTAATTCACTTGTATTAGTTTCTAATGTTTTATTAAAATTTTCGAATTGGTCAAATTTTATTTCTATTTTCTTCTAAAATTTGTTTCTTCATACATTTTCTTATGGTTTCAAAACACTCTTAATACATCTATTATCAGCATCAAAATTATCATTAAATAATGGCAATTCTTTTGGTACATATAAAATATCATTATTTCTATTAAGAATATTATTCAGAGATTTATCATCGATTGTGGTTTTACTAAGCATTAGCGATAAAGTAATAACATTATTGTTATCAGTTACATCTTTAACGTTTTTAGTTGCTTATTATCAATATCATAATTACTATCTTTAGTTAATTTAAATCCATTTCCAGGAGGGCATATAGGATCCTAAAATACCTTTTTATATAGATTACTTTATTGAAACCAATAATGCAACGCATTTGTTATTACTAAATAGTTCTCATAGTTTCGAAACTTTTATTATAAACATTCATTATTCCTTTTCAAGTAATAAGAAATAAAATCTATTCGGCTTCGCTGGAGTTTGTCTGAATTGCCAGAAGAAATCAATTTTCAAATTAGTTACATTATAATAGAAAACATGATTCGAAATGTTAAACATATTATTAGATACAATCTTACATAATTGGTATAGATTACTAAATATCCAGTTTCTGTTTTATTATTATTATTTAGCCCAGCTGGTAAGAAATCTTAGTAATATCTAGCATAATCTTATTCCCCTGCTCTAAACGAAGCATTATAGCCTTCAGTAGAATATTTATCATTATTAATTCGAACCCATGTTCTTAATATATCAAGATTATCGAAAATCATGTTGTTTCAGATTTGATTATTTTCCTTATCTTGACATTGGGGAAGATATAATTTTTTTCTAATTCCATCGTTTATAGTGTTTATGATATGTGTGCCACTTATCCATTCTGAACAGTACTTTTAATAATTCTTACACCACTTAGCTTCATTTGAACATCAGCTTGAGGATTTAGAGTAAAACTACTATACTCAACTTCTTGATCGACATAGAGTTTAATACGAAGTAATCATAACGAAATTTCGCTAACAACAACTTTATAATTTTTATTACATATATCTGTACAAATAATATTATTACTCTTATTTCCCCTGAAAGAAAATTTCACATCAATATTTGAAATATATTTTCTTAAAATCATTAAAGAATCCAAAGTATTGTTTAATTGGAATCCATAATTTTAATTGATTAGTACTTTTTGTTAGAATTTATCTTTTTTTTAAAACCTTCATTGTAAGACGCATCATGTTGATATCAATTTACCAATTTTAACCTTATCATCTTCTTCATCATTCAATGTTGTTGTCCCATTTGTTTACTTGGTGTTTCTGAAGTATCTATATAATAACACGTATCACTTACTTCACTAGTGCTATGATCATTCGTAAAATTAACTATTCCTTGTATATGATGCCCTGGACATGGTAATTCAATTTCTCCAATTATAATATTATCAATATTTAATTCAACCCTTGAAAAAATATTTTTAGTATTAATTATCTTTACATTATCAGTATCAATTGTAGTTCCACCCTGCTTTGTAATTTTTTATTTTGGAAAAATGTAGCTGATAGAAGATAATATATTATCATTTATATCTTTAATTAGCCTCCTATTTTTCGTGGATAACCACCTTATTTGCGCAATGTTGTATATATTCAAAGCTTTCTATATCATTTTGATAATAATTAGTTACACTCGTTAGATCCCAAATTCTTTCCATTATTCTTTCCAAATTAAAATCTTTTTAATTTTTTTTACCTAAAATCAGTTATATATTTGATGACTTTTTGTTAAGTAATTTCTCAATTTACTTTCTATCAATTGTTTAGATTTATTCTCCACCTTTTTTAGCTAATAATTTTAAAACTTTGTCTTTAACCTTAATTAATATAATAGCAAAATACCTTTCCCACAATATTTTCCATTTTTCACAAATAACCGGTGATTATTATGATTCATTTATAATCATTAAAAGTAGCCTATAAACAACTTTATGTTTAGTCAAGTCAATTGAATGATCATTTTGATCTGTAATGTTTATCTTTATTCTATAAACAAAAGGTGATCTGTTAACATCT